TGTAATGCAATCTCTTTATCGTGAAAAGGCAACCTAACATAACTGCACTCAAAAATAAAATAGTGTAAAACTTTAGAGGCTACAAGTCCTACTTGTGGAACATGCTGTCAGAAGTCTTAAAAGAGCAACACTCCAATTCGGAAACTACAGAACCTGAATCACCAAAAAAGAAAATCAACCTACTGTTGCTGGTATCTGACTCAGATAATGAAAATGAATGTGCGTCAGTCCGCACTGCTTTGGATCGTTATTGAGCAGAACCCGTTATCAGCATGGAAGCATGTCCTCTGGAATGGAGGCCAAAGCATGAAGGGGTGTTTGAATGTTCAGCGTATCTGGCACGTAAATACCTTGCAATGCCGGCTACAACAGTGCCATGTGAATGCCATCAGGTGACATTGTAAATAAGAAGCGGGCAGCATTATCACCCGTAAATGTAAACAAACATTTTTGTCTTATGGATTGGCTGCACAAGAAGTAAGATTGAGTAGACTTGTAGGCTCTAAAGTTTTACATTGTTTTGTTTTTGAGTGCAGTTATGTAACAAAAAAAATTTACATTTGTAAGTTGCACGTTCACAATAAAGAGATTGCACTACAGGACCTGTATAAGGTGAATTGAAAAATACTATTTTTTTGCAAATATTTACACTAAAAAGATAAAAGTAATAATACAAAGTGAGCACTGTACACTTTGTCTTCTGTGTTGTAATGGAAATCAATATATATGAAAATGTAGAAAACATCCAAAAATATTTATAATAAATTTAAATTGGTATTCTATTGTATAACAGTGCAATTAAAACTGTGATTAATTGCGATTACTTTTTTTAATCAAGTTAATTTGTTCTGAGTTAATCGCTTGAGTTAACTGCAATTAATTGACAGCCCTAAAATATAGTGATCAGTGAAGTATCTGACAAAAGCTGGTTGGTTTAACAAAACATGGCCTTTTAATAAAAGAAATACTACAAGGGTGGGGATATTCTAGGGCTGTTTTCTTGAGACAGGAGGTTGCCTAATAAAGGAACACACTCTACGCTGGAAGTTTTGCTTGTTTTAACATACAAAGAGTAGGTTCAAAGTCCTGCATTTCTCCTGAAAAAGCAGATAGCAACTCAAGAGTTCTTTAAATATTTCAGTTCCCTTTTCTGCTTTAGGTGTTTGCAGTGTTACAAACACTGCAGAAGAAATACACAACATTGAGCTGAGTTCCAGATGGGTATATGGAATAAGAAGTGATTTTTCAGCTATGTTATTTTACATTGTATTTATATATATATATATATATATAGTTATTGGTTTAGAATCTCAACTATTCCCTTGGATTTGATAAATAAAAGCATCTCAGTTCATCCTAACGTGCCGTTCTAGCCCCAAAAGACTATATAAAAATGGCAGCTTCTAACTTATAAATTCAAAGTAGAAATAAGGAATAAGTGACTCAGGGGCTTTCCAGTCTGTTTATGAATAATCTAAGTGCTGGTCTATACACAAATTTAAATCAAAATAATTAAATCTGCTTCATTTCACACCTTTTGTTGTTTTAGTGCAAGTCTGTATGTGGATACCCTTGTTCCAGAATAAGAGCGTCCACACACAGACTTGCAACAAAAATAATAAAAGCCAAGTTTGATATTTTAGTGCAACTTTGTGTGTAGACCAGCCCTTAGTTTTCATTTATAAAAGAAAATATTCTGGCACTTATTGTTGCAAATAACATGACAAGTGTTATCTTCCCAAATCTGCAGACAAACAACGTGAGGTAATAGACACTAACTGTGAAAAGTCCAAATCCTGGCCCTAGCCACAAATATATATAAATAACATGGTAAATTTACAAGGAAGGTCCTCATGGATTTGAGAAGTCAGGGGAAGGAATCATCCTTTTACCTTCGTCAGATCTTCCTGAGGCAGCAAAGCTTCTCTTTAGCTATTGCTCAAGCTTCAAGGTTGGAGTTATCTTTCTCCAACTATGCCTACTCTGTGTGGGGTGGAATGATGTGTAGATCTTCACTGCAGCTGATATTGAGCCCTACTTCCCCAGTTACTGCTGTGCAGAAGCAAGTCGCTACTGAATTGGCCCCCACGTCTTTCAAATGTTGCATGTTATTTCAACTACTCATACATATTGCCAGGTTCTAAGTCAGGAGTCGGCAACATCGCTCGCCCACGCCGCTTCTCGCCGCCCCCATTGGCCAGAGACGGTGAACCGCGGCCAGTGGGGGCCGCGATCGGCCGAACCTGCTGCGTCAGCAGGTAAATAAACTGGCCCAGCCCGCCAGGGTGCTTACCCTGGCAAGCCGCATGCTGAACATTGCCGACCCCTGTTCTAAGTAAACTGTGACCGCTCAGATAAGAGAACTGAGTATCATATGGACAGTTCAATGAAAACCGCCGTTCAAAGCTCAATAGTGAAAAAAGAAAATATTAGGCTGTATAAAGAATAAATAGAAAATTATATTGAGAATATTATAATTCCATTGTAGATCAATGGTACATTCACCTAAAATACTATGTTCAAGTTTGGTCATCCTAACAAAAAAGGATATACCAGAAAGAGAAAAGGTTCAGAAATATATGGCAGTATCTGAAGACAAAGAAAAACTACTTCTTAACCCCTACTCCATAAAGAAGAGACTGAATTGTATAATAGGGTACACAACACAGATATACAAAATAATTAATTGTATAGGGAAGGTAAATCTTCTATTTACCTTTTCAAAGAGACAGACAGTGAAACTGAAAATAGACATTTTTTAAAGACAGTGCATAATTAGCCTATGGAATTCACTGGAAGAGAATTTTGATCAAGAACTTAATAGGAATAAAAAATATTGGACATGCATTTGCATAAAGAGAACAGCTTACAGTTATATTATACAAGATAGTTTATTATTCCCCAGTAAGAGATATAGACCCACATATACTTAAGGGAATAAGGCAACCATTAACTGATGATCTTAGGAAGAAATTTTCCCTCTGGGCAGGTTATTTCATAATTAGCCATTATAGTACCTTCCTCTGGAACATTTGGTAGTTGCCACTATTAGAGATGGGCTACTGGATTAGATAAGTGATTAGATTATGGCAGTTCCACTTCTTATCCACTACATAGGTTCCCCAAACCTACCCCACCATTGAGAAGCTGAAGTACATTCAGCGACAAAGGCCTTAGACAGTCATGGGTGGGGGGACATTCAAGGCCAAAGGAATGAAACACTTCATTTAATTATGCCTCTCGCTTCTCTGTGTCTTAGTTTTACCCTTCATAACTAATGTACGTCTGGAAATTCTGGGAAGCTTCAGCTCTCCCCTCTCATCCACTCCAAACCTTGTGCACTTTGGCAACAAGTAGGATAAATAGTCTCACCAAACTATACAGGAGATGTATTATTAACAACTCCATTTCAGATGTGATGCACTGGCCTTTTGTGCTGCCCCACTGTATCGCAAACTTACATCCAAAATACATTGCCTACTTTCACTCCCAAGCAGTGTCAAGTGTATTCCACGCCCGGAGAATCTGATGTAGAATTTACTCTTCAGCACACAATTCTGTTCCAGAATCCGAGCGCTCTCTTTTTTAAATTGTTTATAGCCTATATGGTTGCAGAGAAAACCTTGAAAATGTGAAGTGAGTAAATCAACACAGTAATGTCTCCCTGAGTCTACAGAAAGTCTGAAACAATACCTGTACGAGGTGTAAACTGCTCTGTTCATCTCAAACAGGGCCCCAGGAACTCTGCCTCCTTCCCTCCCCATGAGAGCCAAGGACTGCTGCCTCAGTGCCAGGGACTGGACTAGATGACTTCTTGAGGTCCCTTCCAGCTCTACATCTGTATGATTCTGTGATTCTGAGTGGAAGGAGCCAGAAGTGTGAGCTGGGCTGCCAAGGCATTGCAGCCAAGGCCCAATGAAGCCAGCTTCGTGCTCCACTTTCATTGATACACACTGGGGGTGGGGGATGGACATTCTGACTCAGGCCTCCTTGACAACATCATAGGAGCCAAAATCTGGAAATGAAGCTGGGTCCACTCTCAGGATTAATCAAAATCACAGCCTCAAATAATCACTATTCAATTCAACATCAAGGAGTATTTTCAGCTATAAATGAGTGTGTGTGTGTGGGCAGGGAGAACGGATAGGAGACATGAAAAATGAAGAGTATTTCCTAGCAATAGAATAAGTTAACATTGGAACAGAATTTAGGGGTTGTTTCCTTCAGAATTTAGTTCCATTGCACCTACTGTAGAATTTCAAAATGTTTACCTCAGTACCCATGGAGCACCCACAGAGTCGGCGCCTATGTCTACTACATTAACTTCATCCACTATGCTTGTTATTCCAATTTAACAAAAAAACTCACAATCTATCACGTGTCTGGCAGTTCTAAAATTTAAAAGACCACACCAGTACTTATGTTCCTTTTCTAAAGTACACTTTTTCTTTGAAAAATTCCCACCACTGGTACTATAGGTGAAGCCACATCAGTGATAAGAACAGTGAGACATTTTTAGATAAAAGTCAAGTGTAGACAGCCAAGGAGTAAAACAGCATCAGCTGTCAAGAGCTCGTTACTACCAACTTGGGCTGCATAAGAACCAATAGCTTAGAGCAGTGTTTCCCAACCAGTGTGCCATTGAACAGGTAGCTGTGGAATTTTTTAAAAACTACACATAAGAACAAAAACACCTTCTCTTGTATTTTAGTGTCAGAGCCAGATCGCATTCTATACTTTTGCGGGAAGCAGTGCCGCAGCGCCCATTGGCCGGGAAGCTGTCCCGCAGCTCCCATTGGCTGGGAACGGCAAACCGCGGCCACTGGGAGCTGCGAACTGCGAGCGGTCATACCTGCGGATGCTCAGGTAAACAAACCGGCTCACAGCCCTCCAGGGGCTTACCCTGAACAAGCCGCAAACGATGTTTGGGAACCCCTGTCATGTAGTCACCTGTTGCAATAATACATATTTAGTGTTTAAAGGGAAAAAAAATCTCTTACCGTGCCATAGCTTTCCATACATACTAATTATGCGTGACACCATTAGCCTTCCATTGTCCCACAATTTATTGGAAAAATCATCATCTAGGCCGTTCTTTCTCTTGTAAATGTGAAGGCAAATATTACAAAAGACACAAATGATAAACCAGAGTAAATGAGGAAAAAATAGTATTATGAGTGACACACACAAGAAGGAGCCCATATAGTTTGGATAGTGGTAGTCCATGCCAATCCATTCTTTTAATATATAAATCAGCCAGGTTGAGTTGGTCACAGATTCCTGCCCTGAAGTATAGGATTCACTTTTACTTATCATCTTCTGTTTAAAGAAGAATTAGGCAAACTGAGTCAAGCTCTCTTCGTAGTCAAAGCAGCTTCTTAACTTTGCCCCTAGAAAGAGAGAACACACTGTGTCATTTATTCCTACTACTACCACCAGAGAAATTACATACATGCTTTCATTATGTGCAATTAATTTCATTGTATCAGTGCCCTTTTGCTATGTTGCTCCTAAGCAGCTGTTGCTGTTATGGGGAGTGTCGACAATTTATAGTAGGGAATGTGTTCCCCGGGGAAATGTTGCGCTTAAGGTGTTGCTGCAAACAAGCATCTACTGTATCCTGTTTTTCTCATGTGAAATAGGACTTTGACATATGGTTATGCATGCATACACAACTATTTTTAAACACATTGCAGTAGTGCCAGAAGAGTATCAGCAGAAGAGGGGACTGAAAGCAGCAGAGGAACCCCTGACCAGTGATGGACTGAAGTGTCATGAAAGACCTGTGCAATGGGGTCTGGGGCAACACTGATGGAGATTAGGTGTTGGTCAGAGAGGGAGAACTGAAACTGATAGATCAGAGAAGAAAGAGTTTTTATCCAGAACAAGATTTAATGAGTGGCCATCGTGGTGAGTGAAGGAGCTTTCTAGGGCTGAAGATCAATTGCAGAGGGGAGGATAAGGAAATGAGGATGAGGAGGCAGCAACTAATGGCTCAGAAGAGACATCAATGTGGAAGATTAAATCAAAGAGTGTGAAAGAGGAGGACTGTGAGTAGAGTCAAAAGGAAAACTAGGAATCATAGAGGAACTTGGAATGGTCAAGGTAACAAAATAAGGAAGGAACTTGCTCCTTCCTAGATGATCTTCTCCCCACCTGCTTCTCTCCCTTCCACCAGAAGCCATTATGAAACCTTAATTATAGTGCTTGGTCCTGCTATAATGCAGTGGTCTCCAAAGTGGGGTGCGTGCACCCCAGGGGGTTCACAAGAGGATTCTTGGGGGTGCGCAGCAGGAGGAGCGGGAGTCCGAGCGGCTTTTTTTTTTTTTTTTTTTTTTTGGCAAAAATGGTAGAGCCGGCGCGGCAGGGGATGCGTGCTCAAAAAATTTTTACTGATAGGGGTGCGCGATCAAAAAAGTTTGGGGACCACTGCTATAATGAAATGATATAAATAATAAATAATGGTCAGTACAGCAATCTTTGAGTCTTGCTTAACATACCAACTTTTAGTGGTGTGCTTTTGTTCTATAATTGTTTTATATAATATTTCTTAACCTCACCAGTATTGTGAGGACTGATTAGCAAATTTTTGCGAAGGACTTTGATATGAAGTTCTACTTTTAAAAAAACTACATTAAGAATCATGCTCTGTATAATAGTAATATCTATCTGTATAATAGTAATTATAAAACTAAAAGGAGGCTAATTTGTCAGCTACTTTGCCCTCCTTCTCCTGTGTCAGCAAAATTCAATACACTGGTAACAAACAAAAATAGGACAAATAACAAGGTGGCTTGCAGTTGCACTGCGAGAATACACCTACGATTGTGGAGACAGATTAGAACCCCAGAGGTTTATGGTTCATTAAAAGTGGGACTGGTAGCACCCAGGTTGCCTGACACTTCCCCTTATAAGAGTCTGTTTCAGCTATTTATAATTTTACCAGACTTTAACTTTGTGGGCTGAAATTTTCCATGCCAGAAAATATGGAACCGGGGAAGGGATAGGTTGGAGAGGACAGGGCAGAAAGGGTCACACCTAGGAGAATGGGCAGAAGAGTCTGTGCCCACTAGAGTGGAATCCAAGATTTCTGAGTCCCACCATTCCTCTGCTGTCAGCAAATATCTGTGAAACCCATTGGCCAGTGTCCCATTCTGCTCTGGTGCTGGTCCACATAGCAGACACTGGTTGTCATCCTCTATCAGTTAGTCCATTAGCTCAAAATGGCAGAGGTCTGCATGGTGGATCTAAGGGTACGTCTATACTAGGGTGCGATTTCCAATTTACGTAGACATACACTAGCTCTCGTCAAACTAGCATGTTAAAAATAGTAGTATAGCCACTATAGTGCAGGCAGCAGCAAACGGCGGCACAGGCTAGCTGTCCAGAGTACAAACCCTCCTGGACCCTGTGGGTATGTACTCATGGTGGTTAGCTCATGCCACAACTAGCCTCTGCCCATGCTATCAGGACTACTAGGGTGGCCAACTTTCTAATCTGTGAAAAATGGACACTGAGCGTCGGAACCTCCCCAACCCCCTGCTCCACCTCTTCCCCCTGAGGCCCCACCCGTGCTCTGACTCTTCCCTCCTAAAGCCCTGCCCCACCCTGTTTCTTCCCCCAAAGCCCTCCCCCTGCTCCACCTCTTCATCCCCATCGGTGGCTGCTCTCTCCACCTCCCTCCCCCTACCAGCTGAGCGGGTGGAGAGGTGACTGGGGCAGGATGTTCAAGGGAGAGCCTTGCTCCGGGGTAAGTGACTGGGGCAGCACAGGAGATGGAGAGCCATACTTTGGGGGTGGACGGGTGACTGGGGCAGGACGGGGAAGGAAGAGCCGTGCTCTGGGGGTGGGGTGTGACTGGGGCAGGATGAGGAAGGGAGAGCTGTGCTCTGGGGGTGGGAGGTGACTGGGGCAGGGCGGAGGAGGGAGAGCCGTGCTCTGTGGGGTGGGGGGTGACTGGGGCAGGGCGGGGGAGGGAGAGCCGTGCTCTGGGGCTGGGGGGTGACTGGGGCAGGATGGGGAAGAAAGAGCCGTGCTCCAGGGGTGGGGAGTGACTGGGGCAGGATGGGGGAGGAAGAGCCGCGCTCCAGGGGTGGGGGGTGACTGTGGCAGGATGGGGGAGGGAGAGCCGCACTCCGGGGGTGGGGGGTGACTGGGGCAGGACGGAGGAGGGAGAGCCACATTCTGGGGGTGGAGGGGTGACTGGGGCAGGACAGAGTCCAGCACCCCGGGGGTGGGACACAAATGAGGCTGAGAAGGGGGACCGGGTAGTAAACCCAGTCACTGGCCCCACTCCTCAAACGCTGCCCCCTTCAGGATCCCTCCCCCAGGGTGCCGACCGCCATACCTCTCTCCACCAGAGCCAGCCAGTTCCTGAATGCTCTTTCAGCTCCAGCAGCAGCTGCTCTTCCCACCCTCCTGGCGGCAGAACGGAAGCCAATTGTGGACGGTTACTCAAGTAATCGGACTTTTAGTGTCCGTCAGTAGTACTGACCAGACACTGTCAGGTCCCCTTTTCAACAGACTTTCTGGTCAAAAACTGGACACCTGGCAACCCTAATAATTATACTACTATTTTTAGTGCACTAGCTCAAGGAAAACTAGTGGTAGTATATCTGCACAAGCTGGGAATCAGATCCTTAGCTCCAAGGGTGGATGTAACCTGTAGGTTCCAACCCTGCTGATGACTCATGACGATGCCACATGATGCAATTTCTGTTTTTTCAGTTTTCATTTTTTAAAACCTAGGAAACCACGTACACACACGTGTGCGCGCACACACACACAAAATATTAAAAGAACATTATTAAGGTTACAAATTCAAGCACTCAAAAGTAAGGAAATGCCGGAACTAAGGTGCCTGTGCAACTGTAAGTTGGCCCCCTTGTGTATATGCATTATGGTGCAGTTTTTAGTTATATGATCACATACCTTTTTTTTTCACAAGTCCCCTGCCTCATTTAGTGCATGGGATGAATCAGGGTGATGTCTGTTCTGAGGATGAATCAGGATGTCTCAAATTGACAACCCAAAATTAGTGGAATTTTTTACCTTAATCTCTCTGGGACTCAGGTCCCCATCTTTAGAATGGGGATAATACTCATCTCACAGGGATGTTGTGAAAATTAACATTTGTGAAGCACTCATATACTATAGGGTTGAACACCGCAGATAAACCCATTTGGAAATTAATCATTCTGTCTTCTGAGTAGTGTTTGAATAGTGTGCAGTAAATAAGGCATGGGGCACACACTGAACAATGAGGATAAAATAAAATAATGAACAGCTGCCCATTAAGTAAGAATCATCCATCCTCTGCACTGAACGAGGTAGGGGTCCTGAGAAAAAACAGTATGTGATCATGTAATTAAAGACTTTATCATAATGCAAACACACAAGGGAGCCAAACTAAGTTTGCACACAGAACCTTAATTCTAGCATTTCCTAACTTTTGAGTACTTGACTTATCATCTTTAATAATGTTCTTTTAACATATATTAAACATTTCTCTCTCTTTTTTAAAAAATGTTTACAATCTAATGCAGTGCAAAACCTAAGGGAGGAGAAGAGGGAAAAAGAAGAGATTCCAGAATTGAAAGGATTGTGTTACACAAGTCTTTTCAAGATCAAGTCTTAAGAATGTGTTTAATTTTTTGTACTGAGTAGTTCCATTGACCTCAGTCGCTGTGTGCTATAATATTAAAAGCATTAAAATAATAAAGTAAATACACAATTATTAAGATGTTTGGTATTTTGGGCCAGCTATCTTTAATAATCTCATCAGAGGAACCTGCCTCTGGAGATTTCATACCTGCCTCTGGAGATTTCCATTACTTGCATCTGAAGAAGTGAGGTTCTTACCCAGGAAAGCTTATGCTCCCAATACTTCTGTTAGTCTTAAAGGTGCCACAGGACCCTCTGTTACTTTCATCAGAGGAAATATTTCCAAAATTAAGACTAGAGGAAAGCTAAGATTCAATGCTCAGAAGCTTCTACAAATGCTGAGGCTAATGACTGAAAGATAAATAAGCCAAATAAACCACCACCAACTGATATGAAACTGCAACTCCCACAACTCTTAAATTGGGAACCTGCCATTATATCTGACAAATATCCCTAAATGGACACTGTCAACATTAAATCAATTTTTAAAAGAGTTTGAAATAGTTTCATCTCAGATATGCCCCTGTGCCCCTATACCAGTTTTTGTGAGTTTACAATCACAGTTTACTATTATATTTTTCTCTCTCTCATCTTGCTCTGTGAAAAACCCAAACAAGGAAACCTGACTAGCTGTATAAGGGAGCGGATGAAAC